GTTGTGTTATTACTGACGATTCTGAACGTACCAAGCAATGAAATTATTTCTAAATACGACGTACCAGCAATCCAGATATGCCTCGTAAATGACGACGTATTCTCGAGACACGTGCTAGCCTTCAGATGATGGCCTCGAGTAGTCTCTGCTATTTACAGGCAGCAATCTACGTTGTTTTCGCGAGCAAGAGGGGTTCCGCCTGTATGCACTGTCAATAAGTTGTGGCAAAGTTCAAGCAGGCCTACTTAGAAAACCAGTCACAAACATACACATCGACATGAAGATATTCATGACGCAGTTAGGAGCAGATTAAATTCTGTGAATATGTACAAAGCATTCATTCAGAACTTTTCTCTCTTCGTCTCCTGTCTAAATTGAAACATACTAAACTACATTTTGACACGTTCCTTTTTTTCCATGTAAATCCGTTCAGCTATTCTCGAGTTCTTAAAGGGGGTGAACTAATATACAAGGAGCAACTAATAATAGCGTTTCTGCAACTTTTAGTTGCGAATGCGTCTAAAGAAGGCTGTTAAATAAAGATGCACATAGGACAGAACAGCCTCAGGTTCGAGTCAAAAGGTGATGGACCTTCAGCTTCCAAATGAGTCGGGCGTTTCTTGTTCTGCTTAACAGCCAGAAAGTGTTGACAGTGGTCTGGACTGTGATACCGTGACACTGCGTAAATTAAACTCATAATGGGGAGGCCAAGTCTGTCCGATCACCTGCATGAAATAACGTCCTGAAGATCTACACGAAAAGTTGTACACAGAAACTAAATTTGATTCTTATCGGCACAATATAATCCCTACTTCAAGCTACATAAAGTTAAAATAGAACTTGAAGTTTCTCGACATACTACAACTTTATTTGAAACATGTTTATGCATGTAAATACGTATAAAACGAGCAAACAACTTAAAACGCGTGCTTTACCGTCTTCGATAAACAAACATCAATACTTATGAAGAACGAAATATCGTAAAGAATGTATTTAAAACTGTCTGGACTGCTCGGGAAGGGGACGCTTCCACTAATACATCACGATAGCTATAAATAATTACAGACAAATGAAGTTCAGTCCCCGCATCCTACATCTGTTCCCGTTATCTAGCCTGCAACTGTGACGTCACGCCATTCATTGGAACGCGTCGACACAACACCAAGGTCAAGATATATTACCTGTCTGTAACATGATGGCTACATTCCCTTATCAGTATCCGTACTTAAATCAAATTTTCCAATTCAGATCAGCGATGTTCAAGTTCGTAAACAAGTCATCATAATCACATGAAATGTCAGAATATGTAAGGAGTCACCAAGTTTCGTTCTTTCCCCCCCCCCACAATAAACTCAGTATGGAAACGTTTACAAGTCCAACGACTGAAGGTCCGAACATATTTTAGAACATCCACATAAAAGCTTTACTTAAAACGATGCACAACACTTCCCCCCCCCCCAAAAAAAAAATCGGCATACCCTGAATACAATCATTAACTACGCCCAACAATAGAAGCTCTTGATAAGTTTCAGAACATTCACGTCGTATTCGTGTTCAGGACATATCACATTCGACACGGGGGCCAGTATATCTGGAGAATATTTTCGTGAGGACTTTACCAGAATTGGTTTTTGTTTGCTGAACTTTAGAACATACCTCCTTGCACTGGCAAATTGTGAATTAATTCAGGAACAGAAGTGGACTGAATAAGTTGTGGCCTATTGTAAGGTGCTTTCCTAGCATGTATTTTGATGGGTCAGGAGAAAATCACGAAAGGGGTTTACTGTTTTTTTTCCCCAAACATTTATATAAATATGATTATATAATTAAGACATGAGCTTAAGAATGAAGTGCTCGTTTTTTGCATTTTCAATATTAAATACAGGCACCGAAAGCAGCAATCTGCGTTGTGCCTTTTATGCATGCTATAACCCTTTAATCTGTTACCGAAGATAAATTCTCCAATTCGAAGGCACAGACCTACAAACCCTCGTTCAAACCTGTTCACACCTTCCCTACCTACGTTTTCAATTTTCTCTTTTGATATTACCTTACCACCTACGCATCTCTCCTTTAAGCCTTTCCAGTCAATGCTTCATTCATTCATTCTTATTCCTCCCACGCGTTCTACATGTACTGTCATAATAATATATTTTATTTAACCACCCTTCAGCGAAGACTCAAATTATGAAAATCCTGGTACGTTGTGGCACAATTCGTAGGCCTGCAATCTATTTTACGAAGTCAGATTACCCAATGGCACGCCACCTTACGTGGCCTCGGCTTCCATTTTTTCAACTGGAATTCAGTCTGACATCTCCGGAAATAAGCGTAAAAAAACAAACAATGCAATATCACGGGAAAACATTTCAACGTAGATTATTAAAGTACTTCAGCCGAAATTCTGATGGATTTTGGTTATTTAACAACACTGCAACAACGGCTGAGGCTGGCTGACCTCAAATTACTTCAATATTGCGTACGGTGAAAAGGCAATTACTGCAAAACACTAGTGGCCTAATTCGGGGCGTGTAGAAAAAAAGAAAAGAAAAGAAAAGAAAAACACCAAAGTCGGCATCAAGGGCTCTCCACTAAATGTCAACACATTCGTTCAAACTGAATATTTTTAACTCCAGACATGTTTTTAAATTATCTACTGGCATAAAAGACACACTATGTGATGTGTTTGCTGTTGATTTGCTGTTAGTAATTATGTCAGTGTCTGCCGCGAATGCACTTGAGAGGTATCGGGTTCTCACGCGACGGGAAGCTTGAAAATGATGACTGTCTTCTGGGATGTTTCGCCGTGTACGTGGCACAACATCCGAGAAGGCAGTCATCTTAAAAGAGTATATGTTTGATGGAATTAAAATCATGAATAAGTGTCGGATGGAGTTACTTGTCTCGACGACCTTCACAATAATTAAAGCCAACCTACATAATGTACTGCAAACGGTTCATCTGGAACTGTTCCATCGACAGTGGCCTTTTAACAATTACGGTTCTGTTACTGCTGCAATTTTCATACATTATCCACTCACTCACTCACACTCAAAACAGCCACAGACACACACACACAGTTCTGGTCACGGAAAATTCAGTTCATGATGGTGTTATTAGAGCAGCTGATTATCCGGCTTATCAAAAATACGTATTTAATGATATCCAAAGCTTCATTACCGTCACAATAAAAGCCCACCAAAGGCACCTATAATGAGCCAGCTATTATTACATTCACTTCACTCGTTCATAACCTGTCCTCCACAAGCCATTGTAATGTGCCCCCATCTTCATTCAATCCCCTAAAGTGGTCTCTTCCTCAGTTTCCACCCAAAATACTGTATGCATCTGCTGTTCTCTCGCCCATGTCATTAGTCTTACAACAAAGCTCAACATTCTAACCTCGTGCTCAGAATTTTCATACCATAATCAAACGCAAATGTTTGAATGCATATCTCAGATGGGTTCAAAATTAAAGAAAATGAATGTAAGGGTGCAGAATGGATTCATGTGGCCCAGTGTCGGTACCAGTTGTGGAGTTATGTGTACAGGTTAACGACTTGTGGATTCAGGCTGTATTTCTAGAGCAATGCTAGGTCGGCTATACAAACATCGAAGTTCATCATTAAGACAGAATTTACCTTGTTACAGATAACACAAAATCTCACTCACAAACATAATGGAGTTCTAAAGTGTTCTGATGATGGTGTAATACAATATGGATTGTTGGGCTTTTGGACCTTGTCCATCATTTGATGTTATAACATTACACAATGTTTCAGATCCAGTGATTGGGATTAGCTCATTCTAATGGATCCCAAAAGAGTAGGTGCCCTTCCCCTTCTCCCCACATGAAGACAATCACAGGCCCAGTCCTTGAAACATTGTGTCATTTTATAACATCAGACGATTGACAACGTAAAAAACCCAACAATCCATAACTGTGTTTGTAAGTTTAAAACTGTGATGTATTTTTATCATTCTACTGAGTCCCTGGTGCTGATTTAAGCTCCACCCCCATGCAGAAACATGGCAATATGGAGGTACAGCACCATACATTCATAACATCAACACTAAATGCAGGTGAGACGCCAGCTTAATAGCCTGGCTGCTTTACTGTAGAGGAAACAACACCAGTAGTCAATGGACAGAAGGCTGGGTGAGCCATAGAACCAATCTGGACATTATGGCAAAGAGAAAAACCCTGCCCTGACAGGAAACAAATTCTGATCATCCAGCCCTTAGCTTAGTTACTGTACTAGTGGGATTTATTATAATTACAATTTATAATTTCACATATTTTGACCTTGGTGGAGACAGCACGTTTTGTAATGAAGCCCCAATGACAATAAAGATCAAAATATGCAGACTTGTATATTATAATTTTAATAAAACATACACTGTATTCAATACTCTGGATAATATGCACGTAGTTCTGGTGTAAAGTGGCTAGTAATGGTCAAAATCAGGAGAAACATATAAACTTGCAAACACAAAAAATCAGTCTTTAGAAACTTCACTTCATTAAGCTGATGACTGTACTGCACAGGCAAATGACACTGCATATGATTCCTTTGACTCAAATCAACATTCCTACTTAAAACCATTCCTTAAACAGGTAACTACACCTAGTCATTTTCACTATAATTCATAACTTATTAAGAGAAATAATTAAAAATATGGGACATTGAGTACACATGTGCATTTATGTGTTAACAAAAGTAGGGTGAATAAAGAATGGACAAACAAGTATATTCTACCATTTTGTTTTTGTAAAAATGCATATATTAGACTGATGTCAGGGCATTCATGTGCTGCTATCTTTCATTATTCAATTATTTTAATCAAGGATGAAGTATTTTTGTGACACAAACAATAAGTTCTTCAGAACAGAAGTAGGTGTTCCTCAGCAAGAAATCTCGTTCGTAATATAAAATGGTTAAGATTTTATACCCTTTGAATTTTCAAACTACAAAATAAATATAACACAGTTAACTTACCTTTCTGCATCCTCACCAGCTGTTACACCTCCCAGCTGAATTTCCTCTGCGTTTGCTGTCACCTCCACCAACGACTCAAGTAATGCCACGGATGGGTCACCACCAATAGCATTTACAGTCCCTAATCCTGCACTTTGATCTACTGTTCCATCCAAACCAACACTCACTGAACCTGTCCCTACACAACTTGGTACGGTCCGTGATGCCACTGTAGTCGTTCCCTGTGTTGAAAAAGTCTGAATGGGGGCTTGACTCACTGGCATATGAGAAAATGTCTGAGAAGTGCCTGCAATATTAGACACTGCACTAGATACAGATACCATCTGTGGCACTTGCTGTGGAACCTGCTGCCCACCAGCCACTGCAATCTGATGCCCAGTTATTAAACTCTGACCTTGTGTTGCTGGTATCATGCCCTGTCCTTGCACCATGGCTGGCATCGACGTTGGAGTCGGTTGCTGTGCAACGCCAGGGACAGTCCCCACATGAATCTGCTGTTGGATATTTTGCAAGTTTGCAGAATGATGCATCTGTTGTTGCATTCCTTGTGGTGGTTGTGGCAACACTTGTGGCTGCATTGCTTGTTGTGGTTGTTGCTGTTGCATTACTTGCTGTGGTACTGATTTCTGTGACTGCTGAATAACTTGTGACATTGTTTGTTGTGGCACTGTCTGCTGAGGCTGCTGCATAACTTGTGGCATTGCTTGTTGTGGATGTTGCATAGCTTGTTGTGGCATTCCCTGTTGTGACTGCTGCATCACTTGTGCTGGTATTCCTTGATGCGGTTGTTGCATTGACTGTTGTGGCTGTTGCAGAGTTTGTTGTGGTTGCTGTATTGATTGTTGTGGCTGCTGCAGAACTTGCTGTGGTTGTTGTACTGCTTGTTGTGACATTGTTTGTTGTGGATGCTGCATTGTTTGTTGTGGCTGAGGTTGCAACTGCGGTAATGGCTGCTGCGCATATTGCTGCTGCTGCTGCTGCTGTTGTTGTTGTTGTTGTTGTTGTTGTTGGATTTGTTGCTGAATATTATGCTGTTGGGAACTTTGTGGTGGTAACTGCTGTGATATCGAAGCCTGGCCAAGAGGATGCATTGATTGATTCTGTGAAGTGATTGGTTGGATCTGGTGATGTGCCACAGTCTGCAATGGCATGGAGGTTACTGCCTGTGGTTGCTGTGACTGAGTAGTAGTTATTCCAGATGGTATCTGACTTGGTGTGGAAGTCTGAATTGTTTGTGTTTGAGCAGTGATGGAAGTAAGGGGCTGCTGTGATACCATTTGGATGCCAGACTGTCCTTGCGAAATTGGGGCATTCCCGACTTGTGTGGAGGAAGGTATGTTGTAGTATTGTCCTTGCGACTGTCCTTGCTGAGATATGATATGTTTCTGTTGAGATTGTGGTTGCTGGTTAGGTACCATTCCTTGTGAAATTGATTGTGAAGACACTTGTTGTCCCACATTCTGCTGCTGTTGTGGTTGTTGGAGCTGTGAGTTCTGTTGTGGTGGAAAAGGCTGCTGGGGTTGTTGTGACATCAAGTTTTGTTGTTGCTGCATTTGTTGCAAATTTGCAGTAGCCATTACTTGCTGTATTTGTTGTGGTGGTAAGCTCTGATGCTGTGCCACAGACTGTGGTTGTTGTGGTGCTCCAGTTGGCACAGTCTGCTGAACAGAAACCTGTGACATGCTCTGTGCATGATGCTGCTGCTGCTGCTGCAACACCTGTGCTGCAGATATGCCCTGTGACTGCTGCTGATTCTGTTGCTGCATCTGCTGCTGACTGACAACTTGCTGCATCGTCTGCGGAAGTGACTGTGACAATGCTTGCTGCACTGAAGGTTGTTGTTGTTGTTGTTGTTGCTGCTGCTGCTGTAGGCCTTGATGTGTCTGTGATGTTACAACCGACACATGTTGCTGAGATGGCTGAACTGTTCCAGACTGTTGAACCTGCTGTAAGGTCTGTCCTGGTGAAACAGAAGGGAAATTACTGGGCCCAGTCGCACTCTGACCAGCTGCAAGACCCGCCATAGTCACCTGGTGCTGAGCAGCAACCATAGCCTGATGCTGTTCTTGTATTGTCACAGCAGAAGACTTTAGTTGCTGCTGGTCAACAGTTATGATTGAATCATCCATACTTTGAAGAGTCATAGGCCCATCAGTGAGGACAACACCACTATCTGTACCCACATACTGAACTGACCCTGCTGTGGTTGTGTCACTTGAGTCATTGGATCTGACCACATTAATCACTGCCTGCTGTGATGACTGTTGCTGAAGCATTGTATGATCCAGGTAGTCCATGCACAACCATCTTCCACGTTTGAAAGGTTCTGTGCTCTCTATTTTCACTACTTTGAAGCGCTCGTTACGCCCTGCATGATGAGAATGAACGTCCCTCATCTCTGTTTCATGAGGTTTAACACTACCAACAATGTTAATAACGTTTCCTGCATCAGTCACACTTACATGAACTTCACCACCTGAAACGGTGTTTGCACAAGCAACTGCAGCATTGATGATATTACTTCCTCCTTCTGAGGCAACTATTGCAAGGCCGTACTGAGAACTGGTCGGAATTACAGGAGCTGTTCCAAGAGATGTAGAGGCGTTGAAAAACACATCCTCTTTAGAAAAAGTATCTTCTGAATAACTGGGAGTTTCATTTTCTACATCAGTAATTCTAGAATTGTCTACAACATCAGACATATCATCTGTGTGAGATTCGTCCAAATCATCTGCCGAATCATCACCTCCGTCGTTGCTAGTACGAGAACCAACAGTCACACTTGTTATTTGAAAAGATGGTGTCTTCTTTCTCTGATTAGGTGTAGACGATATGAGAGACGTAGGATGGATCACTGATTTCTCAGTTTCCCCCAGACGCATTGTTTCACTAGTCGTACGGTTAACTGCGTTGCTATATTTAGTTTTCTCGCTAGATTTGCTTGATTTTTGACTTAAATTATCAGCCATGTTAGACTCTCCAAATGGGACCTACTCCCGAAAATAATCTCGGTCGAGGAGCAAATTTACTCCTCCAAATGTCACCTACTCGGAACAACGACAACACCCACATAATCCATAGCACTTCAACATACAACTATAAATTCAGGAACACTGTATTTTCGATACCTACACAGTAAACAGCACACACTTATTTACACACTCACAAATAACTTACTGATCCTGGCAATATGGCGCCTGCCTTCTGCAACTAGGATCATGGGATTGATGGAAATTAGTCTCGTTCCGGGTGTCGGTTATTCGATGATTCACTGCAGGCTGAAGCTTCAATGTGACAAACGATTACTGCTAAATTTGATAAAGAAATGTGAATGTGTTTCATGACATGATAAGCAACAAGGGCTACTGCACCTTATACATATTATCAAAGTCGACAACAGTGCATATTTTATACAGCAACTCCCCACCACAGAAAACCTAACCTCCAGCCATGCCCGTATTACAATGCAGTCGTTCCGAGCATTCTATCTCTATGGTTTATCTTCCATACTCACCAATTTTGCAACATAAAAGTTGTCTGCAACATAGAATTTATTCTGTGTTGCAATCGAAAAGAACGTTGAATATCACAATGTTTAGACTACGAATTAAAAAATGCATCGGCCGGGAATCGAACCCGGGCCGCCCGCGTGGCAGGCGAGCATTCTACCACTGAACCACCGATGCTTCTTGAAATTTGTAATGATTGTGATGTTTACACTCTCTATATACAAAGAGAGTGGCGTCTTTGAAATATCATATTGCCAAGACGTGTGAATTTTGGTGATTGCACATGGAAGTACCAACATATGCTCTAATGGCTGTACCAAAAATAGTTTTTATCACGGATTCTTGGAGCTGCTCTGTAATTGTAAATTATAGTAAACTTCTGACATATAAACAAATATTAAATTTAAGGATGATACATATATATAGTATACTTACATATTGTGCTGTACAATACAAGGCCTACTTTGTAGTGTTCTTATCTTCGTTTGCACAGATAAAACCTCTCAGGTCATTACCCATGAAACAACTAAAGAAGGTATCAAACTATGTGTTTCAATCGGACAGACAGTCACGGGAAAATTATAGAGTTTTTACAATTTTGAAAAATAGGTGTAAGGGTGTCCGACATACAACGTAGCGTTACTCCCAAACGGAGTGTCATAGTAGAGTGGTAATACAAAAGTATTCCTTGTAGAGAAACAATGGCGGAAAATTTTAAACTTCTTTCTGTTTAAAAGAATTGGGCACAGGGGTGTCCAAAAACTTATACGACGTTTTTCTCAAATATGACGCGTCGTGAAAGTTACTATTGAAAGATTCGTTTCGGAGAGAGAGCCTGGAAAAATGACTGACTTTGTAAATAAAAAAGGCTCAGGCGTGTCCAAAGAGGTATAAATGTTCTCTGAATGATAATACTGGTAAAATTATTGCTTTTTATATTTCAAAAATTAGGCACAGAACTTCAAATGTACAGTTACATTATGACTTTGAAGCAGATTTTGGATTTACAATTCAAAACAAATTATAGAGTAGGGCCATTCATAATTTAATAGACTGAAAGGTAAGAACTGAATCTTGATGCATCTGTTTTGTATTCATGACATACCCAGTCTGTCATTTGAAGCACTGGTTAACATAACAGAAGGTTTTCATTGTTTCCCTCAATTCTTAGCTTGCAGGTGAATACAGGGACAGCAGCTTAATGTAGCCCACAACTGCTATCTCCACCACCCCTTCTAGCTAAACAAAATAATTATTTTTCATAATCTATGTAGTTTATACAACTGTATGAACTGTATATACTGTCACATAACTTATAATTAAAAGCAAGAGGATTAGAATGTATCTATAGTATATGCATTTCACAATGTATTTACCTTTGCTACAAGTTCACATGTGATGTGTAGAAATTATGGCTATAATTTACAGTCATGTCTGCAGGATTGCATCACAACAAATTTATAATATGGTATAGAAACTGTTACCTTATCCTAAGCTTTCACTGTAGAATTTTGCAGGATTACTGCAGTGAAGTATATAACAAGATTCAGGAAGGTTTTCTCTTGGCTTTTTTTTGTTTCATAAATCTAAGAAAAGATAAAAATTGTAGGCCTACATTACAACAAAAATGAGTAAGGAAAATGAAGAATGGAATTTTGTATATAAAATATTCTCATCTTTGGAAAGATTTCATATAAATCCATACCTTATAATGCTAAAAGTGACTTTATTCATGATGTATGGTGGTAAGTCAGATGATTTTTGAGTATAAAATATGATTTTTAGTATTTGTTTGTCTCTTTTTTATATAAATTCTTAAAAAGAACTATCTTAGACCAGCTGTATGTAAACTCAATAAATGCAGTTGAGTCATCAGTATTGTGGTTTCTCTCAGGCATGGAAAGCCATGTAAAATATTTCTTGCATTCCTCACAAAAACAGAAATGATCCATTGCCAATTGTTTATGAGGCAACTGTAAGAGAATAACACTACAGAAAAACAAGAGACACTTATGTGACAGAATTTTCAATCTCACATTTTCTGACTAAAAATTTTCATGCAAATCTAATTTTCCATAATTTGTACATTTAAAGCCAGACAGGTTAATGTGAAGTGTTTATTGCTACAGCGACAGCATCTTTATTGCCATACCTGACTATTCACATGCAGAGCATTGGATTGACAGTTGATGAAATCTCAATGGTATACTTGGCGCTACCACTCACAACATTCCTCAGTCCCCCTATCACAGGTATGTACAATCAATTGACAGCTTTTAGATTCATCATCATTTATTTAGCCTGGTTTCCTTATCAAAGCAAGGTAGGTTTGTGGTATCAAGTCTGTGTGTGTCCCCACTTATTAACTTTTGAAATAAATTATGGATTTTCATGAAACTTAGTATAGATGTAATACAATCACAGGATACCACTCTTTCATACTTCTTAATTCCCTACTATAAATAATACCATTGCAGCTGTGTAAACGTCAGAGCTGTGAGCGATATCATCAGGACCACTTAATATACGGTTCAGAAATTTTGTGTAACGACAGATCTGCATGATGTTCAGCAATAACCAATTAACCAGTACATATTGAATGTAAAATTTGGTTTGGACATATCAAAATATTTCCTATGAAGCACTACTTATGCTAAAAATTTCATTAATCAGAATCTATACTGGCAAATGTTCATTTGCATGTTGTATTGCTTCCACGTCATTGCTTATAAGTAACTATTAGAATTGGAAAGCTCTGAAATTTGTACCTTTCTCACACATTTACATACAGTATTACAATAGTCTACAAAATAATAAGATTAGCTGAGAAATTCTCACAGAACCCTAAGGCTTCACTGCTCATGGTCCAGGCAGTTCCCGTGATTCAGAATGTGCAATTCTATTGATACAGTATGTTCCAATTCCCAGGCTACTTGATAGACAAGTTTGGGCAGTACAAATTTGTGATGGTGCTATCACTCATCCTCAATGCTGCTTTTCATCACTCTCTGCTTCTTATTCCGCACATGGAGACACCTGGAGAGATGCCGTCTGCTTATGTCACAAAGCATCCAGAGACGGGTCAGTTTGAGGTATGATAACTTCATGTTGTCTGGTTGTGAGACTTGTTCTCTTGTTACAAAGGAATAACAGAGATTCAGTACACCTGAGAACAAAGTCAACATGAACATGCAAATAAGAAGTAAAGTTACCCTGTACCTAAGAACCATTCCATGATGTGTATGTGCATGTAGGCAGAGATGTGTGTATTTGTAATTTGGTGTTAGACAGAGGTGAGTAGTGCACTGCATACTCTGCCTCTGAGGCAACAACCTTACCTACCTGGTGGCCCCAGGACCAGTATTGGTAAGGTGGTAGCAATGAGAAGAATATCTGCCCTATCACAATTCAAACCATGCTGAAATCAAATTAGTTAAGAGAATACTTGGGCAAATTAGAGACAAAGTAGCACGATAATGGAGAAAGTGACATGATGAGGAGCTTACAAATGTGTTTGTAAGCTGATATATTTGGGTGATTAAATGAAGGATAAGATGAATATTACAGATAACATACCTGAACGAAATATGTAATACATATAAAATCCTTTTTTCAAGGGGGTAGACCACTTGGGAGACGTATGTATACACAGGAAAATAGTACTGACATGAATATTAGAGAAACACATTATGAAGGTTTGAAATATATTGAACTGGCATATGATACAGGTGAATAGTTTGCTTTATTTGTTGTATTGATGAATCTTTGGAGCACAAAACAAGGAATTATATTATCAACTGAAAAACAATCACTTGTTCAAGAACACATGGACCTGTGAAATGTTGGTCAATATCTATGAGGCTACACAGTACAATATCCCAAAAGATTGCCTTCTTCTTGTTCTGCAGGTATGGTGGAGTCCATGCCCAAGCCGAGAGTGCCCAGAGGAGGAGGAGTTGGACATGATATTGGCTGACTGCATGGACCACTGCCTGCTAGCAGACAACCCAACATTACGGACAGAGAGTAAAAAGCAGGCTATAATCGCACCAACAGCCATCACCCCACCTCAGGTTGATACCACGAGCACCATTATTGTGGGGAACCTTGCCTGTTCCATGCAGCAAAATACAACACCTTTGGTTGTTAAAAAGGACCTTCATTTTCTCTTAGAGAAAGTTGAGAAGAAGAAGCACAAAAAAAGAAGGTTAACATAATACGTAGATACTGAAAAAAACTACTGTATTTACCTGAATATAAGAGAAATCCTCTTCTAAAGACTTGTATCAAGGAAAAACAATTGCTTTCTCACTTTCACTGCTGAATCATGGCTTTTGTCCAGCTATTAGTTAATATATTCAATCCAGTGCATATCAAATTTAGTTTGATAAATTTTGCATTTTGATTAGAATACTAAAAATATTTTCCCTCACTCTTCCATTATTATAAATGGAACAGTTTTTTGGGCATGTAAAAGCATGCTATACATTATGGAAGAAAATTCCCTCCCCTCAAATATAACTATTACATAAGTTTTCTATATTAAGAAATTCCATAATAAAAATAAATTTTTGAAACCAATGTCTTAGATGCACATTAAGTTTTAAAAGGGGGAGAAAAAAGTTTATGTGTGTATTTACATATGTAGAAATTTAGTACTGCATTGATGGTGAGACTGTGAAAATGGGATGTATACTGGTTAAAATATGGCTGACTGACATTTTTCTTGAATAACTGTAAAGAAGTTTAATTTTATTCTGCGGGCTCATTTGGTTTTAACTTGGACTCAGAATAATTCATTGTGTTTGAAGAAAACATGGAAGGAAAGATGGGCCAGCAACTGGGATTGAACCTCCACGGAAAGGCACAAAGAAGGCAGAATTAATGGCTGCATTCTTTCTGATAGACATGCATCAGAACCTTGAGAAGCCACCTGAAAGTCTGGGCATTGAGATGGAGCCCGATGATAATGGCACTTCAGACTTCCGTCAAAGGTATGTTGTCTGTTCTAGAATCATGTGTCTCATGGATCTCAGACTGGGCAACAGTGCATATCAAAGTAGAAGTAAATATGTGTTCAGAAGAGGCATATACTGAATATTGTGATTGAGTGGTTAGCACTCCTGCTTCATTTTTGGGAGGATCCAGGTTCAAATATCAGCCTAGAGACTAGGAATCCAGATTGACGATTTTTGTGGTTTTCCTCAGTCCTACCAATACCAGGATAGTACCTTAAACTAGGCCACAACTGCTTCCTTCAACATCCTTTCCAATTCACTTTTCAATGTTCCTCATCTTCTCATTCGAAGCTATACAGTCTGAGATACTGAAAACATAGTTAAGTAAACTATAAATAAATGTATAAGAAAACTGTGAAATACATGATGTGCGAGAAATATCTGACATATTTATGTCTTTCATCCAAAGAACAATTTAATAGATATGAGAATATTTACATATAAAACAAGATTATTTAAATCCCCTATACTCAAACAAATTGGTTGAAACATTTTTTATATTATTTAGATATGATTGTTGGCACTAGGTTTGGTGAGAAGTTGTTGCGAGAAGCAGGAGTCAACTTGACAGAATTGGAAGAGGAAGATTTGCGATGTGGGGGGCTGCTGCTTGCTACTAACCTCACTTATAACACACTGAAACAGCTGGCTGAAGACTGCATGTTGCAGAAATGCAGTTTCAGGTAACAACATGAGATAATGTCTGTTAATCTATCAGTGTGACTGATTTTGATGAAGTTTGGTATTGAAGGCCTATACTAAGTATTGTTACAGAAATTTAACTTCAGTCTATATCAGTCCATTATTTTATACAAAGCTCAACTCAGACTTAACAAACTTTCCAAAATAGATCAATGTACAAAAGTAAAAGTGAAAAATTTGTAAAATATAAACATCATCAAGATCTACAATTTCTAAAATATTTTTAATAAAATACATGAAAAAATAATTGATGTCTTTGTGCATTGTAACATGTGTATTGTTGATTAGCTCTATCAACAATAGATTTGCAGTACAGTTTGAATATTAAGACAAATAAGGTATGTAAAACTGCAAAGAATGCATTTGGAAAATAAGTGTATTCAAATTATTTGAGTACATCTTTACACTGTTAACAGGAAAGTTTTATACATTGGGTGAACACAGAATGTACTTGCCAAAAAATCTTGCATTAGATGTGATCAGTGAATTTTACTGATACTTAAACATACAAATAAGAACCTGTCATATAACACTGAATAGAATAGAATATATTTGCTGTGTGCTGAAAGGAAAATTATATTTCTCTAGATAATCACAAATGTTGGAAATGTTTTCCAATTGAGGATGTGAACTCAGATATAAAATCTTGTATTCTGTGTAGATGGGTAATTTCTTTTTGGTGGGGGGGAAGTGGGTAACAAACCTCCTTCACCAAACTTCTGACATAATTTCACACATTGTGCCTAACGAGTAACACATGTAACAGTTTGAGACCCACTGAGTTGTGTGCCCATTATCAGGGAAGGTGGTCCTGAAGTTTGCCCACCAGACTACAAGGAAAGTGATGATCGCACGTTTTGGATCTACTTCTTCCTGCGCTTTGTGGGGACTGTGATGTTGTCTGGTGGGGTCACCATGCTTGACCCCATTGCATTGACTATGATACAGAAGTATGGTGGAGAGTTTGGGCGTGAAAGGCTTTTCTCTACTATTGGCATGGCCATATTCTCTCCTCTCGCTGGACTGCTCATGGATCAGAGTAGCAGTCAGTTGAGTGAGTATCTTTCTTTACAGATCAGTTCAAGCCTCAAACACCACATGTTCTTTCTGATTCCAGCTTTCTCAACAACACTCAAGCAGATATAAATTTAGTTACAAACATTAAATAAAATCATTGTAGAAAAAACAAAGTTTTAATAAAGTTAGAAGCTAAAAATTATAAATTTCGTAAAGGTCTTTAATTCAGAGTTATTACATAAAAGCGGAAAAGTGTAGTCCACAAGTGCATGCTTATTTTCCACGTGTTCCTTGTATGTTGCTTGAATTGATCTCTTTAATAATATTTGATGGAAAGTATAATTTATGATGCTCCTCATTATGCAGTTCTCTCCAGCACCCTGTTATGTCCTCTCATTCAGGTCTGAATATAATCTTAAGCCCCTTATTCTCAGAAACAGTGAATTTCTGTTGTTCTCTTAATATGAGACACCAACTTTCATGTACATACAGAACAAAGGTGCAACTATATTATTACAAAGATAATCAATAATACAGACTCCACTCCACTCTAAATAACAAATTTTGTTGTCAACAAAGCCATTAAGCAGCACTGAATGAGGCATGAACTATTTTTATTGTATTTTGTTACAAGTACATTACATTAAAGATACTTCAGACAGAAGAGAGCAGAGGATTATAAGATCTCAGTTTTGCAAGATAAACTATTGAAAAATAAAATATATAGTTTAATTTGAGCTGCATATAAAGTAGGGGTTGTGTTAGACTAGTACAAAGCAAGCTAAAATTTGCCTGGGAATTTTAAGTTTAGACCCACACAATATGACATTTTAATTAAATCAATTAAGTGCAGTGGTTAAAGATAAGAGATGCAGTCACTTTGTGCAATAAGTGTAACTTACATATATAAAAAGAATACTTAATAATTGTATTCATTGATTCACAGATTACACAGATTATTCAGCTGCTTTCTACACATATGACATCTTGCTGGGGATTTCAGCAATCACAATTCTTTTAATGCCCCTTGGAGTGCATCTTCCAGCTGACAACATCATGCGAGACCTTCTGCGTATCGTACGGTTGCCACCTGTCCTCCTCTTCATCTTCTTCTTATTTGTACTTGGTAACTTTTGGGGCTTCATTGAATCCTTCCTGTTCTTATACCTCAAGGAACTTGGAGCCTCCAACTATTTGCTTGGTTAAGTATCTTGATGTTATGTTGTTGCTGTGGTAACATAACATGAACGACCATTTTGTTGGAAACATTTTACTTCAGTTTGCTGTGCACACATTAGTAAATATAAATTTACCAGTATATGGATTTTACAGACTCAGTGAAGAAATGGAGAGCCTTTCAATTTGTTTGTTTCTCCTAATTTAATGAACAGGATATCTCACTTAGAAGCATTGGTTCTTCCGAAGTTAATTGATGTCTGAGATTAGTAGAAGAAATATGTCCCACCATCTCTCAGCAGTTAAAATAACTATTTGTGGATTTCTGATAATATAAAATATACATTACCATGTGGACATACTAGCAGATTTGTTTAAATAAAAACCAGTATAGAAGGGTTCATTTCTCTGTTTCACTATAAAATAAAATTAGAAAACTTTCTTTAGGAGTTAGTATGTAATATGGATTTATGGTAACAGAAATTTCTTTTATGCTAGCACTAATAATCAACAATCACAGATAAAAATTCAGTTTTGTAATATCTTCAGAAATATATAATACTTAATATAAAATATGTAATCCCATATAACATGGGAAATCGTCTATTAATTAGACATGAAAGACATTAAAACATTTTCTGCTGGTGTGGTGCACTTAAGGCTCAAAGCCTTACAAATTACAGATTATATTATTTTATTTTATCTATCTGTAGAATGTTAACATACAAAATTTGCACATTCAGGAACATTGCTTAATCAATTATCATTAAATTATTTCGCATGGTTTTGTTCCCACATCACAATTTCTCAGGCTGTCATGTTGGTATTGTTTCTGACAGAAGTCTAAGTAGTGTGTCCAATGGCATTATGTTCATAATGACTTTTACTGACCAATTAGTGTCTGTGTTATAAATGTCCATTACTGAATTAGGATTTGTCTTAACGATGCAACATTGCAGGTATTACAGTAACAGTTGGATCATTAAGCAGCATTCCATTCTTGTATGGGGCTGGAAAAATCATGCAACGGTTTGGCCATGTTAATATCATCATCATAGCCTTCTTTTCACATGCAGCACGCCTCATGGGCTACTCCTTTATCGAGTAAGTATTGGCTGTCAAATGTTGAGGATGTGGTGTAAAAGGTGTGATTCATTATCAGGAGGTACTGGATTTAATGTTGAGCATAGATTGGCAATTCTGAGATATTTTATGGTTTTCCTCACTCTGTTCAGGAAAATGCTAAAATAGTATCATTCCTCACCATCCAATATCTTATACTAGATGTTATGTTACTTCATTGGATAACAAAGAGTCATCAACTATCCAGTCAAGGACAATGTACTGAGTAAATTCCATTTCTTGCAGGAACCCATGGTGGTGCTTCCCATTTGAAGCAATTGAAGCACTTGCTGTTCACCTTATGTGGATTGCTGCTGCCACCTATTGTGCAGTTTTGGCACCAAAGACACTTCTTGCAACACTCATTGGTGTCTTAGGAATGGCACATTTCAGTTTAGGTAATAAAAACTATGCTTTACTTAATAACGGGAACTCCACAGGTTAATGATCAGTGGGAAAGAAGTGTTGAAGTACACTCTACATCAATGAAACTTCACATACAAATCCTGGTGTCTCAAATGTCGGCTAGTTTTTACCATGTGATATGTTTGATAGCCCATGTGAATTTTATTAATTTGGTTCACTATGAAAGTTTACATCATACTGACAAAATAATTTATCTTTCAGGCAGTATATTTTTTTCTTTCTTAACTCTCCCCTTTTTTCAAATAATTTCTTACAAAGCAAATTCATAGTATTAAAGAGAAACATATAGGCTACATCCCACAAACATACTGTAGAAAAAATGCAGTGGAACTTTACTGTGTCTATTAAAGGTCAGAAAAACTGAGAATGGGATATACCCATCACGGATTAAATCTGGAGGGAAATTAAGCGGGAAGTATACTTTCAAATCACAATATTTTACAGGTACATTACAAAATAGTATAATATGCACATTTTATACACAGGTCGTGGGAGTGGTAGCTATGTGGGTGGCTGGCTGATCAGTGTAATGGGCACCAGGGAGTCCTTCCGCCTCATGGGATTTCTGGCCATTGCCGGTGGCGTAGCTTATGGACTACTTCATTACTTCTGGTTGCGAAAAGTAGAACTAAATGGAAAGGATGAAGATGCAGCAGCTACTACAGCAGGTAATTCTAGACATGATATCTTTGTTAGTTATGTGACTGGCCACAAGCTGGACAGCTGATATCAGTTGGTTAATGCTGTAAAGTCAACTCAACATCACTGATTATTCATACCTGTCGACACATTTAAATATATAAAACCAAAGCTTAGGAGTAATATAAGTTTACCAGTGGTGTTTTCTGCACTACGGCAAGGGTTATGCCTTTTGATATGAAAACAAACTGAATTCCAGTGACAGTTTAACAAAAAATTTATGAATCATGTAGTCATATAATCCAACACATGACAATTAACCAGTGCTGCCAGTTGCTGCACAAAAGCATGAGTTCAGTTATGTCATCTCATATTGTCTATACAGCTGATAATGCACAATTAAATAAATCTCATTATTACAGAATGTGGTGAAGGAGACCACCTGAACAGTGAAGCTGGTGATACTGGTGCACCCAGTATAGAAAGGTTAAGTCTTATTATTGAGATGAACCACCATAGGTCACTGACCTCACTTCATGACAGCAGCTGCAGTGTGTGTCCAGCCTTGGAACACAGACATCATGGAAGTGCTTCAAAGGACGTATTACAGTCTGAACTTGAAGTAAAGCACAACATAGCATCCAACCCACAACTGAACCACAACAACTCTGTTGGTATGAGACATAATTTGTTCTGTACGTTCATGATAACTAACTAACTAATTAACTAACTAGATGGCTTATGGAACCCAAAGGTTCATCACCAAATTAACCAAAGCCGTTCACAGGTCCCTGTCCTGGGCCAACAGAATCCAGTCTCCTTCAACTCCTATCTCCCATAGATCCTGCCCGACATTATCCTCCCACCTATGTCTAGGTCCCCCCAGCGGTCTCTTCCCCTCAGGCTTCACAACCATACCTGATACAATTGTCCCATCCACGCATGCTACATGCCCTGCCCATCTCATTCTTCTCAACTTAATCACCCTGACGATACCGCGGGAGGAGTACAAATGTATTGAAAATGTTCTTAAGCATTACCTTAAAGAAGGACTTCAAGTGATTTCACATTTACCCCTGTATTGAAAAAGTACATGAGAAAAACATTTAAAAATATTGAATAAAAATTTCCTTGGATATCTATCTCCGGAGATAGGGATTAGCTCTATCTAGTGGGCCCAACTGTGTAGGAACCTGAAGACGGAGATAGAGTCCCATCTCCGAAACGTCGTTTTACGTTTTATATTTACTATACGATGGATAATATCCAAGGAAATTTTTATTCAATTGACTCTTCACCATCGTCAAGAAGTTTTAGATTTGATATATTTAAAAATATGTTCAATGTTTCAAATATTACTAAAATGTTATGACAGCTGAAGGACTCTTTCTTGTGAATGCAAACTACATTCTCATACATATGGCAGTTATCAACAAATTAGGTGGCCACTTTCAGGAGCAGGAGAGGCAAGAGCTCCTCCTACAGGTGAGATTTCAGGTTGACAATGCAGCAAGCATGAAGATGGCTGTCTTCTAGGTTGCTGCACTGTACAGTCTGGTAGAAATTTACTGATGTTTCATAGGTGCTCGCTCCTGACAACATCAGGGTGAGTGCCTTGATGATGGAGGCAGTAAGCACCTCTGAATTGTTGATAAACTTCTACCAACCCACACAGTGCAACAACCCAGAAAACAGCCATCTTCATTTCCTCCTACACATGTCTATATCCAAATTAAACTAAAATAAAATTAACTCTAGTTTGAACATCTGCTGGGGGTTTGTCGTGCTGACCACACATCACCCTATATCTGGTTGGATGATCGTTCACCTCTGCTTAGGCATGTGAATCTGAGGCCAGCAGTCAAACTAGTCGGCTTTGGCTCTCTGGAGCTGTTACACCACAGATTTAATTTTTTTAATTTAATGTAATTTGAACATCTGAAACATACACTGTGTGTGTCAATCATAGTAATAAGAAACTAATGCTTGAGAGGGTATATTAGCTTGCAAAGCATTATGGATGTGTGTGTGTATGCAGTACAAATAAAAACTGTAAGCTTGGTAAAGTAATTCACTGTCAGGAGTAAGTCTTTTGAAGTCTTAGCTCATCTGAAACATTAGTGAAGATAATGAAATTCAGTTTGAAGAGTGTAAAGTGACAAGAAAACTCTAGTTTACTCTGGGTAAGGAAACAAGAAGCTTTAGTACATGATTTTCTTAGTGAAATACATGAACTTCTAAGACACCACTTCATAGCAACACAGCCAGCAAACTTTTAGTTGATCAGTGCCAGCCGACGCCGATTATTATTTCCACAATATTTTACACTATAGTAATTTAATGTATCCTGAATGACTGGCCTACACATAAAAGGTATTTTTAGAATAACAACTTTTGTAACTTGAGATGTAAGGAAAAATATTGTGGAATGTCTGACTTATTTTTCTATACATCATTCAAGATAGGTTAAACTATTATAGTACAAAATATAATGAATCAGAGAAAATGATGCAACCTGTACACAGTGACTGGTACAGAATGACCAGTACCCAAATAAAACACTCCCATGACAATACCAAACCAATGTCACAAACTGTAACAGAACATGCTTATATAGTATATAAATTACAGGTAATTCCATGAAGACTGGCGGAGAACTGTTGATTAAGAAAAATGCTGAGAATTCTCCCAAGCCAGGAAAATTTATTTCCATATCTTTGCCCTCTGAAGTGTGGCAGAACTATCATGACTATATTCAACAAGTGGAGATTGAAGAAGATAAAAGGCTTCAGGAGAATGCCAGACAAATTGCAAGATGTCTGAAAGAAGGTGACGCGTAGGAAGCATTTACAGAGAGAGGAAAGATACAAGGCTTCATTTGTGTAGATCTTAAAACTTCTACTTTAGTAAACCTACTTAGTCTGATGCATATAATTAAAGCATGCACTTTTCCTAATCATGGTAATGAACCTTTGGGTTCCATGAAAGGCGAGGAATTTATTGACTAGCCGAGTACACTATCAGCTTCTCGAGAAGGACTCTGCTCAATACATTTTGATAATATAAATTTTTAGTATATCATGTTTGTAATTTTAAATATATAACAAAATACTTCATACAGAATTATTAGATATGTTCTACCTCCATATGAAATGTGGTATGCCTTGCTACAACATTTCATAAACTTTTGCTACAAATGAAAAAAGTAAATATAGATTCCATAAAGCTGTCACATTTATGTTTTACATTCCACACAGACACATATGAAAAGGCTGCAAACCAACTTGTAATGATTTTTGGGTGTTTGCTACCTCCATCATTAGGGCGATGAGTCACCTCATCACCCTGATGATGGAGGCAGCATCTGATATTTGGTAAACTTCTACCAGACTGCATGGTGCTATAACCCAGCAGATAGCCATCTTAATGAACTTCTGCTAACACAAATGATCCAGTTGTTCTGAAAGATTACAAACATGAAAGAATTAACCTGTTTTCAGGAACTATTTAACTGTCAGGATCAAAATAAATGACTAAACATTTTCCAGCTTCCATATTTCAGTTGCAACATTTACAATAAGGAATTGTACAGACAGTAAATTTACAGTGAGGGGTAGATGAAATAAGTCCATTTAAATGTAAGAGATTCAGTAGGGATTCATGTACATGAAGGTGGGAAACACTAAAATGTATCTTGTGCCCAAGCAAACGATGGACAAATAAATAAATATTCATAACTAATCATTACTTCATTGCAAAATATAGTCCTGGGATGTAAAGTAATTAAAAGTTATTGCAATACATGTACAATGTTCAAATCACTATGCACAGGAAAGTTCAAACATTTATACTTCTAAGTTTCCAGAGATTATCACTCACCTGGCAGTCTAACTCAGCTGTCATCTTCTGAATCCTATGGGAAAACAAAACTATTTTCCCATGAAAAGTTTATAATAAAAAAAGGAAAATATGCACTATAAAAGCTTCAATATTTTCAATAACCTATATCACTCTGTTCTATATCACCAATTCACAAAAATCTGTTAACACTTGTGAAATGCCAGAATACCGACTCAGCATTTTACACAAGAAGGGAACTTCACAGAGGAGCTGCCAGACCTTATAATTAACACGTGTAACAAGCATTTCACATCTCTTCCACTAAGGCCCCTCGTGCTGCTTACATTCTTTACTTGATGCACATAACTTCAGTCTAAGAAAGGCCACCTTGTATCTTGATATCTGAAATGCTTAGCATCACAGAAATGAACTTGAAAAAACCTTCTCTGTGAAGTACAAGGCCCCACCCAGAACCACAAGTTCCAGGTTTCCTTAGCTGCCTGAATGGATGAACACATTACATGTTCCCATTCCCTCTGCTGTATCCCATATTATGATGAACATATGGATTTCCTGGAAAAGCAGGCACACCTACCGTACTTGAGTGCGCTATTGCTGCTGCTACAGCTGAAGACATGGACGTGCCCTGGTGCTGGTAAAGGTGATTTAATGATGTTGGGAAATCATGCAACATGGCACTATGTTGCTGCTGCTGATTGTGGTGATGCATCTGGCTGAGACTTGAAAGATCTCGTTGACCTGCTCGATCCAGGTCAAGCATGTCTCTGTCAGAGTCACTGCCACGGCTCAGCGCTGCCAAACTGTGATGGTGCTGTTGACGATGGACTTGATGCATGTTTGAATTCAGAGTGGAGATGTGGGGCCTCTGACCTGCAGAACTTGGGAACCCATCCATGACCCTCCTCCCTCGGGACATCAGATCTGAATCATCCATTCCAGACAAGTTTGAAGAACTATTCATAGAGTGCTGCTGCTGCCGATTTGAATGTATCTCCGAAATATTCAGATTCAGTGGTGTAAGTGACTGGATGTGACTGGAATTGAGAATTGAATCTGAAGTGGATGTGTTCATGCCACGTCGGGAGCCATTTATGCTCATGGCAGTCTGACTGCGATCACAAGAACCATCGTCACCTGCTGATACTTGCAAACCATGTGCACTACTACGTGAATGTTGAGATGGCCTTATGTTGTTGCAGCTGTGTGTTTCTGCATCTCTTATCATGGAGGCCGCCGTCGAGATAGGTACCAGAGATGGCAACATAGAAGCGTTCCTCAACATACTGGCTCCAGAACCAGAGGCTAAATGTCCCATTACAACCCTCGTCATATCCGGGTCTGAAGATCCACTTCCTGAGAAATCTATACTGGACGATGATGGCATAGATGATGATGTGGGATTTGCAGAGGGTCTTGACACATTAGGACTGTGTAGAGTCTTTAGTGCTGGGGTACCATACATATGTGAATCTGAAGATGACCGCCTCTGGAATTCTGAAATAGGGACTGAGATTTCAGTTTTTGGAACATGTGTCAATGAGTTCTGTAATGAGGAGTTCATACTGACATTAGGCTGGTCAGCTGGTTGGTGTTCCGCATTCGAATTTGATCCGGTCACTGCAATTGTTGGGGTTGATTCTGATGGAGCTTGGGAATCAGTGTTTTCTGCAGCAGCAAGGGATGCCTCATACAAACGCAATTCTTCGGGATGCATGCGACGTTTATGTGAACGGCAGTTTGAACCATTGGCAAACGTGCGAGGGCAGAATGTGCATGTGTAAGGTCGCCGTCCTGTATGCAGATTGTGGTGATTCTGAAACAAGAATATTACTCATATTCAAATTCACAGTTCACTTATTTGGTTTAATAATCCATATTTTTACTAGAGGCGAAGCAGAATTACACTAATTACCTTAGGTAACGGTGATACAGTGGACCAAACACAAAGTAGCAAAGCATTGTGGTTAGGAAAAGAGATGACAGAAACATTTATAGTGCCACATGGTTAGCAAGAGGTGATGAAGGTTTGGAAAACATGTGGTTAGGAAAAGAAGTGAAACCAGGCTTTAGTTAGTCTATAGCCATCTTAATGGTTGATGTTATATTTGAAAACCTTCAACAAAGAATGCTGAAAACCCCAATTACAGTAACTTACAGACAAGGGTGCTAGTAATATGTGTGGTCATGAAGTTAGTAAGGCATCACAGACAGACAGACAATTTATGGTTTCACTCACTTTAAGATCCTTTGCACGCCGAAATGCCTTGCCACATGTTGCACATTGATAGGCCTTGGTGTCTCGATGCACCACAAGGTGCATTCGCAACGTGCGTCTTGTGGACAGCTGGAGAGGGCACACTGGACACTGGTATGGTGTCTCTCGATGCGTGTCACTGTGAATCTTCAGCCGGTACTTTGTCTTGAAACTGCACCATCACAGATTATTTAGCCACTGTAACTTTCAGGTGTTATGTGAAATAAGCAATTGCAATACAGACCTTATTCCACTGGTACAATTTCAATCATGAAAAAATTATGACCTGATTAAATCTGAGGATGTTTGATACAATTCAATTTAGAATCTTTTGTCTTCCTACACACATTAAAATACAAAAGTGTACAACAGTACCTGTTCTTTTGTGCATGTCTCACCCCAAGGACAAAAACAAAGAAAGTTTTTTTAGAACAAGGTTACAAAAGTGTGGTCAAGAAACTTGACTGGAAGAGATTAGTTGATAGACTTAGATGTAGAGCGGATCAATATATCAATATATATAAGATGTGTATTAATATTAACATTGATCCGCTCTACATCTAAGTCTATCAACTAATCTCTTCCAGTCAAGTTTCTTGACCACATATATATATAAGGTATCTGGATGCTGAATGCATTCATCTGACTCACGATAGGGCCCAGTGTCAGGCTCCTGTAAACATTGTTCCATGAAAGAAAGGAAATTTCTTCACCAACCAAGTCACTATTAGCTTCTCACGAAGAACTGTGCCTCAAAACAGCAAGGACAACTTAGATGCGAGTGCATCAGAAGGTGGCATAATCACACAGAACATACAAAAGAGACAATGTGAATTTGCCCATACCTTTTCTTACACTGAGTGCATTTGAATGGTGTCTCATCACTGTGGATGGTCAGATGCTCCTGCAGGATTCCCTTTGAAGTGAAACTGTGGCCACACTGGTCACACACAAACGGACGCTCACCAAAGTGAACTGCTTTCAAATGAGCTGACACTGCTGACTTACTGCTAAACCTAGTTGTATAACAAACATTACTTTCTATTAGTATTTTGATGACTTGGATGCTTATGTCTTCACTTTATTTCTATACAATTAGCCAAAAAACAGAGGATAAGTCATGCCTTTGCTAAATAAAGCTGCGTATATTGTGTTTGTTGAATAAAACTAGTGCTCACCAGGGTTTGATTTCAGGCAGCGGCAGAAATTTTTCTTTTCAGCTATGGGGCTCACTCAGGCTCCTGTCCAATGGATACATAGGTCATTTTCCATGGGGATGAAGCATATGGGGTAAGAAGCTGACCACTTACCTCCATTAGTACCAAGGTCAAGGAATATGTATAGCAATACCTCCAATGCCTCATGTGTTTTCATGATGTGGTGCTTAATTAAGCACAGGGATAACTCTGCCTTTAAGGCCATGCTGAATTGTTAAGGTAATGTAATCATATCCTCAAATATTGTAACCATTACAGGATTATCCTTCAAAATATAAATGCATTTTTATTAAAATTACACAACCTAGCCACTTCAGTCAAGCATACATTTTGTAAATTTAAAAACCTGTTTCACCTGTCCTCAGGTTCTTTATGAAAATTTAAATCCTCTAATATTGATACTGGGAACGACCTGTTCTTCAAGTGCCTTAGCACTGCGGGTCCCAACTTTTCGTTGGCTTGATCTATAGACATTCGGTAGGAATCCTTGGACGAGGGATCGGCCCGTCGCAAGGCCTCTACCTGTACACAGGACAGCACAACACAGAAGAACGCGGACAGACATTCATGGCTTGAGTGGGATTCTAACCCACGGTCCCAGTGACCAAGCAGCACAAGGCCCACGCCTCAGACCACGCGGCCACTGCGGACACCCCAATATTGATAGGTTAACTTTATTCAAACACAGTGTGACAAACTCATACTCCATCTGTGAAATTACTAAAAGATGAACTTACTTCTTAGAACAGATGTCACACGGATATATGAGTCTCTCCTCTCGAGGGAGATGAACTCTCTCGTGTTGCCGCAGAAGGGCCTCACAGTGGAATCTGCGGGCACATTTACAACACACAAATGGCTGCTCTTCTTTTGGAACATGTGACAATATATGAATATCATAGAGGGCACGACGATGGAATGCTTTGTCACATTTGGTACACCTGCACAAAAAATGCACTATTAGCAGACAATAATGGAGACAAAACATTGTAGTATGTTTCATGCACATTGTGAGTATTTTAATGTATTATTTGTACCAGGAAGCACAGGAGGCTTTAAATTCAGATATATAACTAACTGCTACATAGAATTTACAATACACAAGTGCACTGTTTCCTGCACCTGTACTTATATGTGTTGGTGTGCTTCAGGCGATGCTTTATGATAGATGCTCTGCTTGCCAGCACTTTGGCGCATAGACATACTACATGAGCTGCTTCCTCATGCATTCGTCTACAATGAACTGACAGCGAGTTCCAGTTTCTGCACACCTCTCCACAAACATGGCACTCCCATCTGTGAACAGGGGCCATCACAGCTCTAATTGAGCATAAAGAAGTGTTATGAAAGGATTTATAAAAACTATCTCAAATTAAATTAATATTGTTATTATGGAGTGTAACACATGTACTGAAGCAACATCTTGCTGTAACCAGCATTTTTATTCAGATATATCTACTAATGAAATGAAATGCAAAATCAGTTCTTGTTGGAATTCAGCATTTGATATTGGTAAAGAATAGGAGATTAGCCATAGAGGAATGCAAAACAGCACACCAAATACTCAATTTTTCTGGGTGTAATGACACTACATGGAAAATACATGGACTATCACACATTCTACTATGAAAAACTCAAGTTCATTCAAACTTCAAATGCTCAGACACAACAGACAGCCCAAGGTCTCATATATAACACAGTATGATTGCCTCATTTCAATGCCACACGCACATATTTGAATAAATACACCATCTTTTTGTATGGGGTGTGCAACTTTTGGATATCTATGTGTGTAGCTTTATTTTTGTAAATGAAGACACAAATTTCAACAGGTTGTAAGCTGATCTCAATCACAACAATGGATATGACAATATAACAATGAAAGGATTAAGTATAAATACTTCATACCTGAATATGGCTGGTTGATGACTCATCTCTGATGAAGTACCTTTCTCTTCAGCACCCCCTTCAGATTTCTTCTTCATGTCATCATCATCATCATCATCTTCTTCTTCATCTTCATCACCATCACCATCATCATCATCATCATCATCACCACCACCATTATTTTCATCTTCATTATTCTCACTATTGTCTGCAGTATCATCATTACCATCAAAGTTTGCATCATTTTCCTCTTCACTGGCTACTTCTTTAATGGCAGGTTCTTGTGGTTTCAGTTTTACAATTCTCGGGATCTTGGCCTTACGCTTTGCTGCACCAACCAATGCTTTAGAAGGTCGGCCTCCTGGTATAACAAAACAAAGCTAATGGAAATATTCGCAGTGTAGTGAGAAACCAACTTGAGAAATGAATGTAAAACAGACATTTTGAAACAAATGAAAATTACCCATTCCCATAATATTTTATTGTAAACAGGAATATATAAAGAAACAAATAACAAACAATGCAGCATTTGGAACATCCCTTAATAAATAAAACAGAACTGCTCCTAGTTCCATACTACATGGCACTACAAGCCAGAAGAAAGTCATCTTAGAAACAGCTCTGCTGAAATGAGCAAAATTCAATTTTGTTGGATAAAATTGGGCGGGGAAAGAAAAAAAACAATAAAATGTGATGATATGGATATGTAGAAAGAATGGGAAAACACAGATGGCCAAAACAGCTATTTCTATAGCCCTCAACTAGAAGACAAAGAGCAAAACACAGTAGTTAATAGAATTCATGAAGGCATGAATGGAAGAAGAACGAAACAATCAACAGTTATCAACAGCACAAGATCAGAGAACCTAATGAAGCGGCAACAATTCAAGCAGAAGAAGAATTTGCTGCATACTGTAATGACTGTTGGAGGCAGACATTCATACAGGCCATTACAAGTTACAATCTAAGAAATATGTGAGCATATACTGATCATTTGCACACTTTGAAGGCAGTGAGACATCTGCCACTTGGATGATGTAATACTCTAATGACTGTAAAATGCCACCATATGAAATATTTCCAGTGCAAATCATTGATATCAACTTTAACCAACATATGAGTGGTCTCAGACATTACGAGGTGCGATCGGAAAGTTTT